TCACACCGCTGCCCTCCAGCCTGGACACCCGAGTGAGATCCTGTTGCAAATTTTTTAAAAAATTCTGAAACCATATAAACAAAACACAAACCAATGAAATCTAGCAAGTAATCAAAATAGCAATATTTCATAACCAAATAGAGTTTATTCTAGAAATGTGGGAATGTTTCGGTGCAAAAAAATTTATGAATATATTCACTACACTCATAAATTCAAAGATCAAAAACTATATGATTTTTATCATTAGATAAAAAAAGGTATTTGATAATTTTAGCAGTCATTTCAAAAAGTCATAAAACAAAAGTAAATGTAATGTCAACTGGTAAAATACCAAAGACATTTCCACTGAAATAGGAACAAAGCAGAAGAGCCTATCACCCAATTTTTCAACACTCTTTTCAAGATTCTAGCAAACACGGTCAGTGACATAAATATTGAAAAGAAGATGTAAATTATCATTACCTCAAATAGTATAATTATACACTATGATAAGAGATGCAACCTTAAAACAACTGTTAGCGTTAATAAAAGATTAAGAAAGAACACAGGATAATAAGTTTTGAAATCCATAGCTTTCTTTTTGTATCATCATAAGTCACTAAATCAAATGGAAAAAAGTCTCATTCACAGTATTTTAAAAATAAGATTTACTCTTTGGCACTAAATTTTTTTTTTTGAGGCAAGAGTACAGATTTGCATTTTTTTTTAATCTTTGAAGTACTAATATATAAATTAAGGTTTGTAAAAGTTGCAGATACCAGGATGAAATCACTTTTTGTCACACACAAAACTGAGCCAGGAGAGCACAAAGGAGTAGGGTTCATGATTGCATGGCAGAGATAAAAGACATTTTAGAAAGTCCTGTTTTCGCTGGACGCAGCACTTTGGGAGGCCGAGGGGGGCAGATCACAAGATCAGGAGTTCAAGACCAGCCTGGCCAACATGGTGAAACCACGTCTCTACTAAAAATATAAAAATTAGCCAGGCATGATGGCACGCACCTATAATCCCAGCTACTTGGGAGGCTGAGGCAGGAGAATCACTTGAACTTGGGAGGCAGAGGTTGCAGTGAGCCGAGATCGAGCCACTGCACTCCAGCTTAGGTGACAAAGTAAGACTCTATCTCAAAAAAAAAAAAAAAAAAAAAAAAAAACTTTCTAAAATAAGAAATTCTGTAGGACTGCAGCAATTCCAATAAAATGTTCTCAAAACAACACCTGTCCAGTAACAGCATCTCCTCCTCTAAAATGACGCCAAGTCTGACTTTGAATTTCCAAAACCAATGTCTGTTTCCAAGCAGCTTATGTGAACTCCTTTTGCCAATAAAAGTTTCCCTTTATCCTCCCTTCTTCAGACGCATCTGTAGCTTGCCACAGCTGTGCATCTCAGGTTATAATCCTCTTTTCTAATTCCCAAATAAATTCAACACATTTGGAGATTTTTTCTCTGATTTTTTTTTTTTTTTTTTTTGCCTTACAGGTTTTTGGTTGACAAGTTTCAGCAGAGAGCTCACTGTACCTACTCTACTGTAGATACACAAATGTGTAATCACAAAATTAAGTAAAGAAAATTACATAATGTGTAATCACAAAATTATGTAAAGAACAAACTTGAAACAAAGAAAAACCAAAATTTTGAAGGTTGGTGTTTTGAAGGTTTCAACACAGAACCAGTTGATGTAGATATTCTTAGGAACATTAAATTATAAGATAATCTATGGACAACATGCTAAAAATCTTTTTATATTTCAGTAATTATGTTGCCAAAGAACCCTGGTATTAAACCATCCTTACCAGAATTGAAATTCACTTATTTATATTTATAGTACGTTTTACATATTTGATTAACATTGATTTTGCACTTTTATTTCAAATAATAAAAATAGCTGGGCGTGGTGGCTCACGCCTATAATTCCGGCACCTTGGGAGGCTGTGGAGGGTGGATCGCCTGAGGGCAGGAGTTCCAAGACCAGCCTGACCAACATGGTGAAAACCCATCTCTACTAAAAATACAAAAATTAGCTTGGTGAGGTGGCACACACCTGTAATCCCAGCTACTCAGGAGGCTGAGATGGGAAAATCACTTGAACCTGGGAGGCGGAGGTTGCAGTGAGCTGAGATCAAGCCATTGTACTCCAGCCTGGGCAACAGAGTAAGACCCTGTCTCAAAAAAAAAAAAAAAGAAAAAAGAAAGAAAATAAATAAATAAATAAAGTCACGTTTCAGGATTCAATGTCTTTTCCTCTTTTTTTTTTTTTTTTTTTGAGGCAAAGTCTCACTCTGCTGCTCAGCTGGAGTGCAATGGCACGATCTCGACTCACTGCCACCTCTGCCTCCCAGGTTCAAGTGATTCTTCCACCTTAATATCCCGAGTAACTGGGACCACCATCCCCAGCTAATTTTTTGTATTTATAGTAGAGTCTGGGTTTCCCCATGTTGGCCAGGATGGTCTTGAACTCCTGATCTTAAGTGATCTGCCCACCTTGGCTTCCCAAAGTGCTGGGATTACAGGCGTGAGCCAGGATTCAATGTCTTTATTTGTTGTTTCAGTATCTAGCGGCAAATGTGGGGAAGAGAACATGTTAGAATCCTTGGTTCAAAACATCTGAAAAGAAAGACCTATTATAGAATAGCCTTATTAAAGTCTCTTCTAACTGGAAAGATCCTTGGCAGTTTGCATCATCACAGAAAATGAGGAGCTACATATACAGCACTAACCCTGAGAAAATTCAGATTCAGTCCTGCTTCAGTATTGAACCAAACCAGGTTATCTGCACAACAAGTAAAATGTCTTAAACCCTTATAAATCTTTTATATCAGGGTAAGCACCCATTTGAAAAATTAAAATAAGGAAAATAACATTACCTAAGATGAATTATCATGGCTAACATTAAAAATTTAGAATTTGCAAGGAAGTGGAATAATGAGTTTTCTAATTAAAAGATAATTAAGGACAGGTTTCTCCACATACACACAAGAATTTCCCTAAAGCTTTATAAAGATTTAACTAACTAATGAGGTAGAGAAGTAATTTATGTGCCCATTAAAAAATACTCAATCTCTGAATGTTAGTCCAAAATTAACTTGTCATGTCATTAAATCATTGGCTAGAAACGTGTTGAGTACCCATTATGTACTTGGCACTTAGATCATTATGAGACAATAAAAAATACTGCATTAGAAAAGGACATTTTTCACATCTTAAATGTAATAAGCATTATTTGGCTGGCAATTAATTACATTTAACACATTCAGCATATAGCGCAAAATTCTGAGCAATCAAAGTAATTATTCCCTTGAGCAATCGATTGTTCAAATTCCTTTCGCTATTCCCTTAAGTTTATTTATACTCTGGGATTCTTTCGTAGTTATCAAATAAGAAAACAAAAGAATTCTAAATCAGACAATACAAAAGAATAGAAATGTAAGAGATGTATTAGCTATTGAATCCTTGTTTCCATTTGCTCTCAATAGTGCCTCTAATGTTCAATTTTCTCTTCAAAGAAAAATCTAGATTTAAAAGAAGTAAAATCACCTTTAAATCTAAAGTATACTGATTAGCATCTACTAAAGTCTGCTAAGACTGAAACTGGAAAAAATTGTAAAATAAATCTTTATTCTATGTTATATAATGCCATTCACCATATAATGATTTTATACTTTGGTATATGGCTTTTCAAAATAAATATTACGAACAGGTAAATTTTTTTCCTTTCCTGTCTAAAGACAGTCCTAAGAGAATTTTTACCAATGTGTCTGTTCATAACTTGAATGTTAACTTAAAGCAATGTTACTTCTATCACCTAAATGATATACTTAGAGAAGAGTGATTTAACTGGGAACAGAAAAATGACACATTGCTTCTTCCCAAGAAAAAAGGATGCATTCCATTCTTGAGGTCTCTCTCCCACTCTCTCTCTATTTATATATAATATACTGCATAAATATACGCACACGTACGTATGTATTGCTTCAAACTTAAAGAAGACTGAACATATGTATTTATATGTCTATATCCAACAAATGTTTAATTTTAAAATCGCTCTTCCTCTTCTGATTTATTATTCTCGGTATGGTTCTCAAACTGTACAGTGTTTCACATTTCATTCATTCATCAAGCATATATTGAGTCCCTTCTGCATACTTAGCTTTATGTCAGATGGAAGGAAAATACAAAAGAAAAACTGTCTCTGCCCTTCAGAATCTTTCCATCTCTTCTAGAAGGTAAAACACCATATATCATTGAGCAATTTATAAGACTACTGCCAAAACCAATGGTACAAGTAACATGCCTTTGACATTTATGTAGAATTTTAGAGCTTGGAAACACTTCCATGATATTTAATCCTAAGAACGATCTTGTGAAGTACACATTATTAGCTCCGTTTCAGTGATGAGGAATCTGAGACAGAATTTTAAGTGACATGCCTCATTCAAATACTATGAGTGGAAGAGTCAAGCCTTCAGGCTGAGTTTTCTGATTCTAAGTCCAGTGTTCAACACAGCACAGGAAACCAAAGATTGTGGTACACAACAAGGCAACAGCCAGTCTTCTGCTCGAGGTCCAACTAAACTGGACCCACACCTGAGCAGTGTCCAGCCAAATGTCCAAATTAATTTTATCCTGCAAATATTTTTTCTTCAGTGTAATAATACACACAGCACAACTACCATTTCCTTCGTCTTAGTGCCTTTATTTCCTACATTCCAGAAATGGGGATGTCAAATAATTTTTTTTAAATATGACCTAGATGGAATCATGTAAACCTTAAATCATAATATAAATCTTAAAGGTCTGTTTTCCCCTTATCCTGCACATTTTCCCCCAGCACTAAAGAGCCTAACTTACCCTCACCCTTTTCGAGCATTCTTGCTCCAAACAACCACCTATTTTAAGATGCCAATGACCCTTTCCCAAATTCTACAAATTCACCCCAGTTTTGCCACCCGACCCCAGCGCCTGCCAGGACACCCTCCCCTCCCTCTCAATGGATATGATACCGAGTTCAGGTTCTGCAGATCCCGTCGCGATGCTGTCACACAGCACTGACAGATAAGATTTGACCTTTCGACTCCGTCCTTGGGGACCTCCCGCTGGACAAGTAGGGTAGTTCCAACCCCAGGAAACGGGCTTCCTGCTCAGGAACGCAGCCCCTGGCAGCGCACAGTCCGAGGCAACGTCTTCGGCAATTAGAAGGATGCTGGGCGCCCGGGTGTGCATCACTCCGCCTCATACTCCTGCCAACTGCAGGGGACTCGGTCCGGCAGCCAGTCCATCCCACCCACAGCCAAGCCCCAGCCAGCCGGACCTTACGCAGGACCCCGATGACAGGTCGTTGACGGCTGCAGCAAAAGCCAAGGCCACCCGCCGCTGCTGCCCATCGCCGCCAACCTCAGACCCCTCAGACTGGACCGGAGAAAAGCGTTTCTATGGGAACCCCCTGGGAATCACGTGACGCGCTCGGACGACCAATCGCCTCTTACCTCTGCCCGCGGTCCGTCTTTCTGCCCTGCCTCTCGCCCCCGCCTCCTTCGCCCAGCCCCGCCCCTTTCCTGCGGAGAGCCCGGGCCTGCGCGCTGTGTCCTGCGCGCGCCCTCCCTCGCGCGCGCTCCCCGTGGAAGAGCGGGGGCGGCGTGGGAGGCGCCAGGAGAGCGTGAACCTGAGGAGGAAGCCGCGAGGCCGGCGCGCAGGCCCAGAACCGTCCGAGCCGCGGCTGCCGGCGACGCCCCAGAGCGGAAGAGGGAAGTGAATCAGGCGCCGGGCAGTGGGCTGCTGGGCTGGGCTTGCTGAGGTAGAGGCAGCAGCAGCAGGAGGCTTTTGCCGCCGGTCGGGAGTGGGATGTCGAAGAACACGGTGTCGTCGGCCCGGTTCCGGAAGGTGGACGTGGATGAGTATGACGAGAACAAGTTCGTGGACGAAGAAGACGGGGGCGACGGCCAGGCCGGGCCCGACGAGGGCGAGGTGGACTCCTGCCTGCGGCAATATCCTTGCGTTGGCCGCCCTCCCCTCCCCACCCCAGCCCGGCCCGCCCTTCTCAGCGGAGCGGGCGCCTGCAGGGTCCGCGGGGCACCGGCGCGCAGCTGCGCCCTCAACCCGCGGCCGAACCTGTGTCTTTGGGGTCTCCCGCCCTGCGAGGGCAGGGGGAGCTTCCGTGTCCTCCCCCGTGGCCGGGAGACGCGAGGGTCCCACTCTGCCCTCCCCCGCGCGCCTTCCACGCCCCCAGATTCCTCAGGTTGCGCCCGCGTGCGCGCCTCGGCCACGGGTCCCGCCGGCCGCGCCCTCGCGGAGCCGGGGAAGGCGGCCCGGGCTGGTGGGCGAGGCTGGTGCCGAGCGCTTAAGTTTTTCTTCCTAGAACTCTGTTTTTCTGGGGTCACATTCTCTCCAGAAATCTCTGATTGTGGGGACCCGACGTCTTTCCTCAGTGGCTTTGTGTTTTGTTGTGTTTTTCTTACTGGTAGCGTTAAGGTAGTTTATTCTTTGCCGGGGGGGAGGGGGCAGATGGAAAGGTTGGAAAATTGAGGCCACCTGTGCTTTCAGCCCATTGGCCTTAAAAAAAAAAAAAAAAAGAAAAAAAAAAGGGATTTGGCAAAGTATACAGTGCACAGAATTTGTTAACCGGGGGAGGGAAATGCATACAAAAAATACAAAACTCGTAGAAGGAAGCTTGGAGCCTTTTACCTGCTAAGAAAAGGACAATGGAAAAAGAGACGGGGAACGCATGTGGAGAATCCTTGGAAATATTTAAAATAAACCCCAGTGAATAAGAAGATGAGTCATTTGTATAAAGCAGAATCATGTGTGTGATCCTAAAATTGATTCCATTTTAGTTAAAATATGGCTGTCAGTTCCTGGTTTCTGGTTTTTGCATATTTGAATATTCATAAATTTGGATTCCCATTTGCATCACATCTTTTTTAGAACAATGTAAATGTTGCAAAAATCCGAAGCTGTCGTTTTAGAAAATCTCAGTTACCGGGTTTGTATGCATTTCTCTTGAGTGTATTCATAAGGAAGACGCTCCTCAACAATGTCCTGTTAAATTATATTGGGGAAATATGTGAGTGAAAATGTTTAATGGCACCTGTATTCTTTTATAAAGGCACCTAAATACAGCATTAGATGTTTAGCAGTGTATAGGTATTGCTTTGATTGCCACAACCTTCACAATTAGCTGTTGCTCTTTTGCATTATTTAAATACTTAAGTGCTTGGGGGTCATAAAAAAATGAGCAAATCTACATAGGCATGCTTCTCTAGAAATCCCTGCAGCTTATCAACGGAGATTTTCTGTGTGTGAGACCTTTTTCTTCAGAAGATAAAAGGTGAACGTTCTTCGGAAAAACATTATTTGTGATGAATATATGGTGTTTTATGAAACCCCAATGCATTTTAGGTAATTTGTGGTGACTCTTAAATGTTACTGCTGTATCCCTATCAGTGGATCTGCTTTTTGATCAGTTCATCTTAAAATATAAAGATACTGTCTCTTACTCTTACATACAACCAGCAAAGACAGCCCTAGTGGTAGGGTGCTGGAGATGGAGGAACAAGTGAACTCTGTGGTTTTCCTTTTAGGGGAATGGCTGTACATTCTGACAGTCTGATTGGCCTCCTGTTTCTTATGCTTGCTAACTCACTAGTGCTTTCAAAAAGAGTCTGAATTTAATAGCTTTGGTCTAACACAGTTTGAGTGACCTTTGTAAAATATGAGAGAAAATATCTAAAGCAAAAAATTAAGCTGCCACCTAAGGGTCGTATGAATTATTACATCTTCTATGATGCCTCTTTTCATCAATATTGAGAGATTGCTAACGTGTATTATTCAGATGGCTAATCTGCCAGCATTTTCTACCAGCATTTTAGTTAATATAGAATATAGTTCTAGTAAAAGTTTGGTCTTTCGTTTTTCAACTAGAATCACATGAAAAAACATATTTTGGTTGATAATAGGTTATTTCATTTGGGGGACTAATAATTCTGATATATATCTTAGGGTTTCTTTAACACCACTCCAGGTAATGTTTGCATATGTGTCTAACTGGGAAATGAAAGATTATCAAGGTATTCATTTCATAGAACCAAGGGCGAAACAGTCTTTGCTTTATTAAAAAGAAATTCTAATGTTCTGTTTTGCATTTGATATTTTGCCTTTGATTAACATCCTAGAAACCAACACATTGAATATCCGGTATTGAACATGGTGACCAAAGTAATTTTCTTTTTATATATAAAGTCTTAAGAACCGGTGGTTATAATGCTTTCCTGGGGGCCATGCTTTTGTTGCTATACCCTTAACCACCACCACAGGAAACATGACAGCTGCCCTACAGGCAGCTCTGAAGAACCCCCCTATCAACACCAAGAGTCAGGCGGTGAAGGTGAGTCACAGACACAACACAGTGATCTCTGCGATATCTTATTCTTAGCAAATTCTTCTGCAGTTGCAAAAAAAAAAAAAATCAATATTTTTTTACCTTTTTCTACCTTTGACATAGGAGAGCTTCTAATGTAGTTTGATAGGCAAAAATTTCACATGAAAAAGCCCTGTAATGTAGAGTTATGATAATGCTGCATGGTAAGACACAGTAAATTCAAATGATAGTGAAATCATTTGTTTGTGTTTTTAGAGGAGACCACTCAGGCTAAATTTGAGCAAAGGCTTGAAAAATAAAACCTTTACAAAAGTAAACAGATTGTAATTGCTTTTTAAAGATTTTTTAAAATCATACAAATACTAAATGTTTATTATAGAAAGCTCAGACATATGGAAAGGTTAAAAAGATAGTCGTCCATAGTCCCAGCACCCAGAGATAAGTTACTACTTTTGGGCCTTGCTATATTGGAGAGTTACAGAGTTCCCTTTTGTTTTTTAAGAATGAAATTTTATAACCTGCTTTTTCCACTGTATGCAATGTACATGAGCTTTCCTTTGCAATAAATTTATTTCTAGCATTTTTAACGGCTGTATATGGATAAGCTGCAGTGTGTACATAACTAATCTTTTGTTATATATTTAGACTGTTTTTTTCTTGTAAACCACTGAAATGAATATTTTTTGGTACATTTTTGATTACTCTCTTTCAATAAATGCATAGCCGTGAATTATTGAATCAAAGAATGCACTTTTTTTTAAGGCTTTTGATACATGTGGTACTGCCAAATTGCCCTTCAGAACAGTTGTGCAACTTACATTCTTTGCAGTCTTTTACTAATTCTAAAGAACCTGTTTAAGTATTTATTTAAAATGATGCCCATAGCATCAACCCCATTGGCCATAGCTATTCATACATCCTAGGAGCTTCAAGAATCTCAGTTGAGTAGTCGCAAGTAATAACTTAGGTAAATGCTTAATAATTATCTAGGCAACATCATGGGGAAAATCTCTTTGATTTTTATAAGTTGTAAAGAATGTCATTGAAATTTCATTTTTACCACCTTTTGCTTTTATGTGGGAGGTTATAATTCTGGATGCAAAGATATTTTTCTAACTCTGGTAATTGCATAGTCTTTAAATCAAAGATAACAGTAGGTGGTAGAAACATTCTGTGAAGTCCTAACCAGTAGGAATGCTGGAGGTATCACATTGTGTTGAATAGAAGGAGAAACGAATGTTGAAAAGGTCAGCTAACTGTTCCCTTTGCTTGGCCGGATAGGTAAGAAAATAACTGCTTTTGAAGCAGGCTTTTGCCAAAGAAAAAAGACCATTATTAAGGAACATCACCATTTTTCATATCTATAGTCAATTCATATAAATTACAGCCAGTTTTCTTTTAAGAAAACTTGGTTTATTAAAATTTTAAAATAAAGTTTTTAAGAAAACATTGCTTCTGAAGGATAATTCAAGATAAAACTGCAAATCCGCTTCCTTGTTTTTTGGGGATTTTTTTTTTTCTTTTTGAGACAAGAATCTCACTCTGTTGTCCAGGTGGAGTGTAGTGGTGCAATCTCGGCTCACTGCAACCTCCACCTCTCAGGTTTAAGTGTTCCTCCTGCTTCAGCCTGGGATTACAGGAACATGCCACCATGCCCAGCTAATTTTTGTATTTTTAGTAGAGATGGGATTTTGCCATGTTGGCCAGACTGGTCTTAAACTCCTGACCTCAGATGATCCACCCATCTCGGCCTTCCAAAGTGCTGGGATTACAGGAGTGAGCCACCGTGCCTGACTGTCTTGTTGGGATTTTTTTTTAAAGATCAAGACATAAAATCTAAATGTTGTTTTCATGAATTGTTAAATTATCACACTGATCTGTTAGCAAATCCTCTCAGCTCTCCCTTCAATTATGTCAATAGTCTATCTAGTTTTTAACCACCTTCACTGCTACTATGCTGACCACATCCAGCCTATATTATTGCAGTTATCTCCTAGTTGCTCTTCTGCTTCTACCTTGTCCCCTAGTCCCACAGCTTATTCTCTGTAACATAGATGCCAACGCGATCCTGTTAAAATGT